CACACACACACACACACACACACACACACACACACACCTTGCAACAGTACACTTTACCGCAAACGAAAACCATGAACACGTTGGCGGCAAATACGTCCAGGAAATGAAATTGCAAGGCGTCACTCCATCTCAGCCCTGTGCAATAGCAAAAAGATGCCACATGCAGATTGTGTGTTGGTGTGCAAGGGTTCCTCTTCTGAAAGAGACACACCATGACACACCACACCACAACACACATACATGCCCCTTCTTGCCACTGACAGGAAAAGGAAGTGCCTCTTTGCCCTCCTTCTCCAAGAAAGGCAAGACCCTAAATCCTGAAGTAGAGCTAAAGGTGCCAGTTCCCCGCCGAGCTTGGAAGCAAAGCGGGGTCAGCTGTGGTTAGGACTTGGATGGGAGACCGCCTGCTGTGTGCCTTCAAGTCATTCCCAACTTATGACGACCCTATCCTGGGATTCTCTTGGCATGATTCTTCAGAGAGAGATTGCCACGGCCATCCCGGAGGCTGAGAGTGTGTGACTTGCCCAGTGCGTTTACATGGCCGAGCTGGGATTCGATCCCTGGTCTCCAGAGTCTTAGTCCAGCGCTCAAACCACTATGCGCTAAGGCCCTGAATCCTAGAGGAGAGCTAAAGGCACTAGTTCCCATCTGATCTTGGAAGCTCAGCAGGGCCAGCTGTGGTTAGTACTCGTGTGGGAGATCGGCAACTAATCCCATGCACTTTAAGCCTCCCAAAATTATTTTAGCACAGATGTTTCAAGGGATTGCAATCCAGTTCCTCAGAGGATTGGAATATGGATATTTGTGCACAGTGTGTTTACAGGGCAATGGGTGGGATCAGAGCAAACCGGACGCAGAAAGAGACCATTCATACAACAAATATGTTGGTAATACATAGTTTTCAATGAATTTACTCAGCTAGTAAATATATCCACCCAAGAATTAAGATCGGCCGGAGGGACTGACGCATCACACAGAGAGACAGAAGAGGGCCTTCTTTGCTTTATGGAAGGCTCTCTCCTTGGAGCAGCAATGGGCACCAATGGCTGGATCCGCATTGCAGAAATAATCCGGTTCGACACCACTTTAACTGCCATGGCTCAATGCTAAGGAATTCTGGGAATTGTAGTTCTAAGATACATTCAACCTTCTCGGTCAGAGAGCTCTGGTGCTCCCGCCAGCTACAATTCCCAAAATTCCTGAGCCATTGAACCATGACAGTTAAAAGTAGTGTCAAACTGGATCATTTCTCCAGTGCGGATGCAGACAATGTTTGTTTTCTTTTAGGTGCCAAGTTAAATCATTGCTCTTTATCAAAACCTACGGGCCCAAATCTCTCTCTCTCTCTCTTTTTTAATGCATATGCATGTACATGTTTTTAACTGTTTTAGCCATTTCCCCCTTTTAACCTGGATTGTTTTAATATGTTTTTATGCTATTATCATGATTTATTTATACAGGGCCATCAGTGTCCAGCGCATGGTGCTTTGCAAGTACTAAAAGCAGCCAGCCTTGCCAAAGACACACAATCTAACAAACACACATAGAGAGAGAGGAAGGAAGGAGTAACGCAAATATACAACTATGCAATAAAACAATTTATCCAGAGAGGAAGACGGACCAATGCAATATAATAAAGCAAACGGCCAAATACACATAATCAATATATTCGTTGTTGTGTGCCTTCCAGTTGCTTCCAACTTTTGGAGAGACCCTAAGGCGAACCTATTATGCAGAGGGTTTTCTTGGCAAGATTTGCTCAGAGGAGGTTTTGCCACTGCCATCCTCTGAGGCTGAGAGCATGTGCCTCATCCAAGTGTGTGTGTTATGTGTGTTTTCAAGTCTTTTCCAACTTCTGGCAACCCCCAAAGCAAATGCACCATTGGGTTTCCTTGGCAATATTTGTTTGCAAATCATTACTCTCTATCAAAGCCTACGGGCCCAAATCTCTCTCTCTCTTGGCCATTGCCTTCCCAAGGCTGAGAGAGTGTGACTTGCCCAAGTGAGTTTCATGGCCAAGCTGGGAATTGAACCCCGATTACCAGAGTCGTAGTCCAACACTCAAAGCCATACAACAATGCTCTTTCTATTGTTTTAAGTGGCTTATCCTCTTTTGAATGCTTGCTTGACATTTTGCGATAGAGGGACGGAGAGAACTATTTAAACGAATAAATGAAATAAACAAGACCAAAACATCTGGATTCCTCTTAGCCATGTCCCTTTGCAATGGATGTGTGTTATGTGTTGAGATGTGGAGATTGCCACTCCTCCATTTCCCAACACAGAAACAAAACGCCAGGCATTCGTTCCCAAAGTGCATGACCGAAGAATTGGGTCTAGCCAGAAAGGAATGGATCGGATCGCTGCCACCATCCAAAAATGCAAAGCAAATTAGGATCGCGCTCCAAAGGGACCTTTGCAAGTCAACTGGGCAACGCAAGCTCAGCATCGGACACAGCTGCCGGGTTCTTTCGGTTCTGGACAATTCTGGAAGGACACAGACCCCGGCTTTCGGCTTTTGGGGCTCTCCTCCAAACACCAGCCTTCTCTCTTTCCAGCCCTTTGCTGAGTTTGCAGCCAGGGCTTTGCTTGTTCTTCCTTAAATATTTGCATAAAATGGCCTGGATTTTCCAAAAAGAGAAATGAAAAGAGGAGAGATGGACAAGGGGGCCTCTTCTTGTAATAATAAATCATAATAAATAAACTTTATTTTTATATCCCGCCTTTTGCATGCGCAATCAAGGCGGCTAACATCATAAAAATGATATAATAATAATAATAATAATAATAATAATAATAATAA